GAACTTCGATATATCGATCTATCAAACAATCGATATATCGAACTTCGATATATCGAACTTGGATATATCGATCTATCGAACAATCGATATATCGATACATCGAACTTCGATATATCGATATATCGATCTATTGAACAATCGACATATCGAACAATCGTGAATTTTGACGATACACGAAAATATATTGCATTTATAATATTACCACAGAATCTTTTATATCATATATATCGATCTCGTTTACACAGAGGAGACAAAGAAATGATAAATAATCGTAAAACGAATGAAAAGAAGAAAAAGAAGAAGAAGAAATAGCTATAGCAAAGCTTTTAGCAGAGTATCGTAAGAAGAAAATGATTTTTCTAGTGTAACGAGAAACCGTTCTACAAAAGAAGAAACGTATCTTCGAATGAGCGAACGAACGTGTACGTCTGCTACTTATAGTAAGAAATGTCGAAAATTCTGTAAAGAAGTTATCAGAGTGCTGATGAAACGTATTTTGTTATTAAAAAAACAAAAAAAAAGAAAAGTAAGAAAGATACAAWTAAAAAGATAAATAAATAATTATACCTGTATATATATTCGTAGAATATGCGTACTAACGAGATAACAATACATTGAGAAACTCAGTGAATAACTATTTTACTATTATACAAGTAAAGAAAAGAATAGAGGTTGAAGAAGAAGAAGAAGAATAAAAAGAAAAAAAAATGTCGGTTTATATAGAAACGTAAAATTTTATAATAAAGAAAGAAAGAAAGAGAAAGAGAAAAAAAGAGAAGCAGTTATCTTTTCTTAACCGGTGAGGGATGGGGATGGGGAGGGGGAGGTAACACAATGTTAAATGATAGTTTAATTTTCCTCTTGAGATAAGAATCCAAACCCATTTCCAGCAACTTTTCGCCAGGACCATTCGTAAGAAATTCTTTCTCTTTCTCTTTCTCTCTCTCTCTTTCTCTCTCACTTTTTCTTTTCTTTTTTATTTGCACAATTTTTATTTCCTTTTCTTCTTATTTTCTTTCGACTCTTGTTCTCTCTCGTTTTTGAGTTCAACTAAAAAAGGAATATCCCGTCTAAGAGAATCCTAGAAGCTTTCTCGAAACCGAAACCATTTATTCGACTGAATTACTTGAATAAAATAAAAAAAAAATAAAAATAAAAAAAACAAGAAAATAAGTTAATAATTTTATCAACTAGAAAATTCAAATGTAATAAATAAATTTTAAAGTAGGTATATACAGAATTTATTTATTTAATTTTTATAATTGGATAACTTTCAATATTTGTACTTTTAATTTAATAAAAATCAAATAATTAATATTAAATGTTTTACTTTCTATTTGAAGTATAGGAAAGAAATTGATTTCATTTTGATAAGTATTCTCACACTTTAAGTATTACTTACACACATCATTTTAAATCACTTAGGTTAGCATGTTTTATGGGAAAAGAAAAGTATAGGGGCTATATATATATATATATAAAATAGAAAGGGGATAGAAAAATTTCACCAACGTGTTAACCGAACCTTGTTGAGTGTCAACAGACTAGAAAAAATTCGATTTTTATATATATATATATATACCTTTTTTTTTATATAAGGGGAAAAAAACTTACTGAAGGAGAAACCAGGGATCCCTATCAACCAGAACCCCATAGTCCGATATCGAGGGACTACATCCAATTTTGTCAATTCGTCTAAGTTCGGTCAAACTCTGTGTGAATCCTAGGAGTGCGAGAACTATAGTGGTCGAAAAGCAATGACAAACGAACCAAACCAAACCTTGAAGGTTCTGATCCCATGTGAAGAGGCCATTAACGGCCTATCCTGAAAACTCCGATCCTAACTGGATCCTTCAAATATATAAACACGTATACATATATGTATTTTTTTACATTTTGTATGTATGTGTAATATATTGTTTGAAATTGGTAATTTTGTATACATTTTGTTATTTATTATTTTATTTTTTTGTTCTTAACTATATTGAAATTCAACTATTCGTTCTTTTCCTATTTTACTTCACGGGAACACAGACACATAAACACACGTATACACACACACATGTTATTGTAGGTACAAGAAAACATTGAAATCATTTTATGGAGGGTGAAAATTCAAAAGGTTACTGTACCTAAGTGTTTAGGGTGTACCAATATAGAAGAACGTAATAGCAAAATTGCCAATATACACGAGGGACATTTTTTTTATTCCCCATTCCAATTTCCTTTCTTATGCAAAAAAAAAAAAAAAANTTTTTTTTTTTTTTTTAATCTTACTTTCTGTCACTTTTTGTGTATGTATGTATATATATATGTGTGTATATGTGAAATACTATGGTTCCAGGTTTTCTAAACCATTGATTTTAACGAGAACTATTTCATAGGAAAATAAGAGTCGATTTATTTATCCTCAACCATCATAAGAAAATATCACATTCAACATTTTTATAATATTTGAAGAATATTTTTTATGGAATATCTGTAATCGAATGTATTATTTATTGATTTTTAAATAAATTAAATTATAAATAAATTCAATTATTAATTAAATGCAGTATAAATTAATTGAATTAGAAATTAATTTTTAAATAAATTAAATTATACATTAATTTAATTATTAATCAAATGCAATATAAATTAATTTAATAATTAAATAAATGCAGTATAAATTACTCGCATTATTAATTAAATAAAGTATTATTATTAATAATTTAATTAATAATTAAATTAATTTTTATAATTGTTCATTCATTTATCTCGTATAATTATTGTATGATGATACTTTAATAATAATACGTTAATAATATTAATAATAAATGGTAATACAATTTATCTTATTTATCTTTTATGATTCCTATTATTATTATATAATAAATAATAATTATTTTATTTGAACAATAATAATTATAAAGAATTATGAGATTTAATTTTATTTGTACCATGACAAATATTTGATTTAGATTTTATCTTTTTTTCTGTTTTCTTTCAGCTGCAGCAGCAGCATCACGAGTTTATGTTGACGCATTATCCAGACTTGCACGTCAGGCACAGCTAGGAACATGGGGTGGTTCAAAAGATGTCGGTGAGTTACAACAAACATTAACAATAATAATAATAATAATAACAATAATAAAATATTTGAACATTGACACACACACACGTGAATTAATACAAACTCACCAATACTAAAATAAATTATATTTTAATTATTTGTTAATTATAGATAAGAAGTTTATTTCAGGTATACCCTTTTAGGGTGTTTACCCCGAAGGCCCCCCCTACATGTTCGTTCCCCTTGACAATATACTTAATTCTAATTATGCCCTAATATTTTAATTATTTGTTTATTTTAAATATTATAACGAAACGTTATCTATATTTCATTTAAATTATAAGTAAAAACATGAACAATAAGAAAATGTTTAAACATTGACACACACACGTGTGATTAAATACAAACCTACCAATACTAAAATAAATTCTATCATTGTTTTTATCAATTTATTACACATTTATATTTTCAAATATTTTTTATCTCGTTTATCACTCATTTTCAATCTGACTGTCTGTCTGTCTGTCTGTCTGTTTGTCTGCCAGTCTGCTCACATTCGTTCATCTTTGTCTTTTACGTACATTCAATTAATATGATCCACGTCAAAATTCGTGGGACGAAATAAACAAAATAAACAAAAAAAAAAAAAAAAAAAATTTAAATCACTCATAATTTAATGAGAAAAAGAGACAGAGAATGATATAGAAAGAGTCCTTTTTGTTGAGTCGAACGGCCGACTAATTAATTAGCCTGTCTCTCTTTCCACGTATCATTTACTCCCATGCAAATAAATCCTATATAAAGAGAGAGGAGAGAGAGAGAGAGAGAGAGAGAGAAAGATCATAAACTCATATACATGCACATGTGTATATAATGTGTGTGAGTAAAATAAACTCGATTATATACGTGGCACCTACTTATACGAATTTGTTTACTTTTTATTTCTTTCTTTTTCTATTTAACCAAAAATATTCAAACCAAACACAAATTCTTTTATTCCTACGGTCTGTCAATGTTAATAAAAATAATAATAATAATAATAATAATAATAATAATAATATTTGTAATAAACAAGGGATTCTCGTATTTGTCCATATACGATCAATCTCTGATAATAATTAATAATAATAATAATAATAATAATAATGATAATATTATTTTATTTTAACGATAGTATGGTACACACAAAATTTCATACGTGTATGCAATTTTTAATATAATAATATCAATTATATTTATTTATACTATATTATATTTAATATAATTATAAAATTATTATATTATATTAATTTTATTTAATTTTATTACAATTTTACATTAACAATTATTATATTAATAATATAATTTAATTTATAATATATTATTATATTTATAAATAAATATAATTCATATTATTATATATATAATATATAAAATAATAATGTTATAATATAATAAATATTATATAATTTTATTTTTAATTAATTATATACAATTAACAAATTTTTATTAAATATAAAATATAATGTAATATTATATATATATATATATATATATAATTAATAAAATATTATAATTCAAATAAAATATGAAACGTTTCATTTTAAATAATATTTAAAATAAACAAATAATTATAGAATATAATTTATTTTATTTTAGTATTGGTTGGATTTGTATTTAATCCACGTGTTTGTCAATGTTTCAACATTTACACTTACTATAACAATTGTTATAATAATATTAATGTTATTTACATATTTAAATAAAATTGGAATAATTTTTTAATACACAAGTTATATTATCAAAGTTTGTAAAACTTTCCTCTGTCCATTTTGGTTTTGGAAACGAGTAAGAGGACAGAATGGGGGATAGTTTAGGGGTGGTGTGCTTACCCGCAAACGGGCACAAGCAGGCAGGCAGGAAGGTAGGAAGGTAGGAAGGCAGGCAGGGGGGCCCTTTTCTACGTCGTGCTTTCTCCGGGGCTTCCCAAAGCCAATAAAAGCTCGTCTATTTAACCGTGGCTAAGCTTTTGAGCTTTTTCCCTTTTTCTCTTTCTCTTTCGTTGCACACAGAGTTAAAAGAAAAAAAAAAAAAAAAAGGAATAAAAACCCCCACCATTTCTTCTTCTTTTTTTTCCCTTTCCCGTTCAATGGTCATACACGTTGAGTGGAATAAGATAAAGAGAACAAAAAGAAAACAAACACACACACACACACTAAGACAGACACACAGAGACAAAAGTTCTCTTAACAAGATCATTGCAGCGTGATAAGTGTACGTATTAAGTTCAGGTCGATAACCCTTATAATCTTGAAAGRCCAAAAGGGTAAGGTTATATATATATAAAAAGAAAACGAGGAATACTACCAAGTTCCAAGTTGTACGTTGACTATAGCAATAAGCACAAGTAGAAGAAGTAGAAATAAAAGTAGAAGTAAAAGTAGAAGAAGAAGAGATGAGGTAATGGGTGACTGGTATGGGTGGGGATTGGGGTTGGGATTGGGGTTGAGGGTGAGGGTGAGGGGTTGTACGAGAGTTGGAAGAAGAAGATTCCAGTTCAAGGAAGGAAGCTTTCCAAGTGCAAGAAGAGACTCTCTCGGTGGCAAAGTTTTTATTTGTTCACTATGATGGTGTACATACACATCGATAACAGATACGAGGATGATATCAGCATCGTGAGTTTCTTTATCGCGTTAAGGTTGCCACCCTACCCCCTTGTCCTCACTTTGCAATACACCCCTTTCACCTCCTAGTTCACTCCCTCCCCTGTACCTCTTTCCAACCTCATTCTTTCCTTCTCATCCCCTTCTACACTTTCTTTTCTATACCTATATATATCTTTTGCTTCAGCAGGTTACTCCACCACCTTTTTTCACTCATCGATATCAAACTATGTTTTTTTTTTTCTCTCTCTCTCTCTCTCTCTCTCGTAGTCTCTACTTTTCCCTTGAGATGGAATTTATCATCCGAGTTCTATCTCTCTTTCTATCTTTCTCTCTTTTTCTAAATCTCTCCGAGGGATCGTGGATTTTTTTTATTTTTTTTTATTTTTTTTTTGTAGTTTGCTCGTTGATCTTTATCCTCGAATTTAAACGTGTGATTTCTTGTTTTCTTTTTTTTTTTATTATTATTTCACCATCTTAATATATTTCCTAGTATTACTTCACTGTTATTATTATTATTTTATTAGATTGTATGGTATTTTTTTTTTTTTATTATACACCGTTTTTTTTTTAACGTCTAAAGGATTAATTTTGTTTATTAAATTTATATTATTTCGATTGTAGGTAATTAATAAATAATTGGTAATTTAATAAAATTTGTTGTCATTAATTTGTCTAATTAAAATATTATTGTATATAAATAATATAATATAATATTATAAATAATAAATAACTAAATAATATATTATCTAATTATATTAAATAAATAATATTAATAAAAATATAAATAATAAATAATTAAATAATTAAAATATTATATTAAATAAAAAATAATTATATTACATAAAAAATATTGTCCTTGTGTCCCAATTCTTTTATATTATTTTTATAATTTACCCATCCTTCATTTTCCCATAAAAAAAAAAAAATCACAAAAATTATAAAAACAATATTATACAATAATTTGACAAAAAAATAATGTTTAGTTAAGTGAACCCTAGAGATAGAAATAGTAAAATGAAAGATAGACCGAAAGATAATATGAGGGGAATGAGGATGGGCTAAAGTGAGTGAGTGAGAGAGAGAGAGAGAGAGAGAGAGAGAGAGAGAAAGGTTAAGGTTGATACGGTCCACCATGGTAAATTTATGATAATCGAGGGAAAGCATGCAACCATGCAACCAAGCAAGCAACCATCCAACCAACCAACGAACCGATTCTATTCTCAATGCGATAACCACCATAAACGAGTGGCGATCGTGTATATATATCTATATTCTGTAATATCGTCCATTGCATCAAGGTTACATACAACGACGTTATTCGAAGTTAACTACAATCGGCTAGAATATTCCCACCCTGGGCCCTTTAATACAACAGGCTTAGTTAACTATATACGAGAGAGAGAGACGCCCTCCGGCTCCTTCCAATTTAAACTCCACCTATCAACCACCCCCACCCAACCCCCACACCCCTCCCATATTACCCTTTCTTGTTTCCTTTATAGTTGCATATATTGGGTGAGACGTTCTAATAAATATTTTATAAAAATTAGCATTATTTTGTTATTATATTTATATACAGATATTTTTTTATACATATGTTGAAAGTGTAATTTTATTATTATAATTTGGTGTTTTTTTTAGGGATTAAATAATACTATTTTTTTTTTTTTTTTTGGAAACGATTAGGGTAGAAGAATAATTATTGCATCGTTATTTATAATAAAAAGAATTTATAAATGTCATAAATGTAATTTTATTATTATTATACTTTAGTTTTCTTCTCATCATGGGTTAAATAATACCTTGTTAATAATTCTTATTTATTTAATTTTTTTTTTAATTAATATAGTACATTTGTTCTATACAAATATTATTATATATATATTATTTAATGTTAAAGTTATCGTATTTATTAATTAATTTAATGATACCTTTTGTTAATTACTTTTTAATAATATTTTTGTTACAAATTATGATGGTATATATTTCTTTAAACAAGTAGTACAGTTACATTTGGTATTAATAAAAAAAAAAAAAAAGAGAAGAAGATGCCTGCGGACTATATTATCAATATTTTTTATCGTTGGATTTTCTTAACATAAAAAATATAAATAAAAACGCTAAGGATAATATAAATGAATTATGTGAGACATTTTAGAAATCAAATAAACTTCGTACTTCGTACAAAATATTTTTCTTTTCATTGCAAAATAGAAATGGAGATATATTTGGATTGGTTGTTTTAAATATTTCACCCGTTAGATATTTTCCTCTCTTTCTGTCTGACGCATGTATTACATACGAGCAAAAGGATTATTATTAACAGGTCAATGATTCACTTAAACCATTTCAAACAAAAGAGGAAGATAATACAAAGTATCATAC